AATGACCCTTGGGGATACGGTGCCGTTCGTTAGAATCACTAGATATATAAATGGTTTAGTTGAGTTTGACAAGCTGGATCGTAACTTGGTAAGTTTGGCGGCATGGCTGAAGCTTCATGACAGAGAAGTTGGTTGCTGCCCTGGGTTGGTCAAGGTTAAATTCATTGGTATCAGGAAACGCGACTGTCGCATTCAAACGCGTTAAAGTTATGGCCCAATTAACACCACCTGGGCCAGGGATTGCAATGGCCCCGCCATAATTAATGCACTCCCGTCGAGTCTCACCGCCCAGCTGAACCAGCTAAGAAGCCCAGTCGATTAACTAGGTAGCATGGGAGGGCAGAAAAATAATTTAGCGGGGCCGCCGATAATTATTGAAACTTCTATCTCAGTGTAAAGTAGAAGGGATTTTTGAACAAAATCGGACTACAACCTGCAATCCGGCAGGCAAGACAACCACATCTAAGAAAAAGGCAATTTATTGCATAGCGATATATAGCCACGTTATTCAATGCTTACCCCTACACAACTGAGGGTTGTTGCTCTAAACCACCCATTGGCAAGGCTTCATCCCGCTACCAGGAGTTTCGCCCCCATCTTTGTTCGAGCAAAAGGTCTCTCAGCCATCATCCGGGGTTCGATCAGATCTGAACGAATTCAAAACGGCCCAGACAGCTTCGACACCCGCAATGCCTATAATGATACTGGTCGACGAAAAGCAGGAGGCGAGCGCCTCACTCGTCCTAAAGAGTCCCCCCACCGACCCCGAGACGCTTTTTTCGCAAAATTCAGTGCAAGAGCCGTTGACTCCGGCGGCACACGAAATTGGCGTCAGGAACAGAAGCTGAAAAAGAAATTAAGGAAGAAGGAGGAGGAAAAGAAGGAGCGAGAAGAGAGAGAAGAATTAGGCATAGGCCGCCGAACTAGGAGGAGACGATTCGCCGATCCTGAAAACGAATTCGGAAATCGCAGCTTCGTACACCGAATGAAGTATGGCGACCTCAAGGAGGTGGCCGAAAATTTGAATGTAAAGCAGCCTGTTCGACCGCGACCATTCCCTGAAGCTCAAAAGGAGCGCACATTAGGTTCCAGAAATGGGGATAATGGTGTTGCACGACACGAACGACGAGAGCCATCAAATGAGAAGTTCGAAAAGCTAAATCAGCAATTCAATCGCTCAATACGACGCCCTGAAGATCCGCAACAAAGTTTTGGCCGGTTCGGCCATCAAGATCGTCAGTCAAATATCTCTGGTAGATCGTCCAACAATGAACTTAACGGATCACAGCGGAGATTCGATCGTTCACAGCCTAGCGACTTTCGTCATGATAACGCTCGAGAAGACCGACAGAATGACCAAGAAGATAGTTCTATCGATATTAAGCGTGGAAAGAAGAAGGAGATGATGGCCATGACCCTCAGGTACACTACCGCTGCTTCACAGTTCCTATACGGTCGATCAGTTGTCAAAGCAGCACTGGGGCAGAATCGACGAAAGCTGTATAATCTCTACATCCATGCCAATGAGAACCGAAAATATAACACGGATACTGTTACCTTGACGCGAATGGCGAAGAAACTCAACGTACCCATACAAATCGTGCCTCCTGAAGAGCAACGAATCATGGATAAGATGAGCATGGGGCGACCTCACAATGGCTTCGTGCTTGAAGCCTCCCCTCTACCCCAGATCCCTATCAAATCTCTTGGCAAGTTAGAGGAAAGTCCTGGTCGCCTGGGCTTCCACGTGGACCTTGATCACCAAACCAAGGAAGAGGCAACGATCAATGGCACCGACACATTTATTCGACGCTCCAATGATGTGATGCCCAAGCCTTTTGTCTTGCTGCTCAATGAGATTCTCGACCCGGGAAACTTAGGCGGTATCATCCGCACTGCGAGCTATCTCGGCGTTGACGCCGTCGGCATCACGAACCGGGGATCCTCCACCCTCACACCTGTTGTTCTCAAGTCTGCTGCCGGTGCAGTGGAGGAGGTTTCATTATTCGCGGTGGACGATCCTGTGAAGTTCATCCAAGACTCCCAGAAAGCTGGCTGGAAATCATACGCTGCGGTGGCGCCGCCTGATCGAAAGCTTGTTCGAAAGCATGGGAGCAAGTTCGTGTCAACAGATACGATTGAGGCACAAAGCCCATTAAACGAACATCCGTGTCTACTAATTCTTGGTAATGAGGGCTATGGACTTTCGAAATCTATCAAGGTTGCTGCCGACTATGAGCTATCAGTACCTCGGTTTGTTCAAGGAAGCTGTGTGGATAGTCTGAACGTCAGTGTTGCGGCAGGCCTCTTGTGTCATTCTTTCGTTAAGGAACCTGTGACTGTTGCACCAGGGCCAGTTGAGCCCACGACCAGACTGGCTGATTCGGAGGCCAGTTCTGACGATACAGAGAGCAAGACCATAGCAACGAAGACTGGGGCGAAGCTTATTGAAGCTGGAAGTGATAATTCTTCTGAAGGAAAGACTACTGGTGAGGAATATGAGGTTGACGCTGCTACGGAGGCAGAGCAAAAACAGCCTGACGATCAAAAGCTGGATAAATCTGACGATTTGGTCTTCTAAGAGCATTGGACTAGGCCTGGGTGCCGCTATTGTAATAACTTAGATATGTATAACACGATGGTTGGGTGGCGCTTGGGTGTTAGGCATTGGGAGCATAGGAAATCATGTACAATAACGATGTATACTAGACGAAACACATGTGGAAACAATCTAACTTATTCAAAGGACATACTGGGTAAGCAATTATGGAGAACTTACTGGATCGATGTCGTTGCTGGAGCACAGAGTACGTCTCACGAGGCTAGCTTGTGAGACCCTGCACGACGTTGCGCGCCACGCCGCCCGCCATCATGACTCCTCCTTGGCCATACAGACGACTCTCTTACAACTCTCAATCTGATACATATAACTTTCAGCGCTACGGACTACGGAGTATTCGTAAGATTGATGTCCTCACTGTAACTTAACCGAGTGCTGGAGCACGCATTTGGATCAGTCTACCTACCTAGGTAGCGATAGAGCCAGCTTGTGGCCCCATCATATCTTCCACCTAACCGTCGCCCAGCCACCCAATTAATTATTTACAAGCCACCTGAAAACGCTGAGTTGTCGCTGTCATACCCCATCGGCAGCATCATGCCCTGTCTCGTCCAAAGTGTACCTTATAACCTGAACAATAGCCCAGTAGCATTTCCGGACAATCTTTAACCTGTGTCTAGCAACGGCATTTGGCTCGTACTGTGTGGCGGTGTAAGCAAGTATTCATAGCGCATATCACACATTTATCAGTTCACTGCTGTCGCTTGAAATTCTTTGAGCCCAACGAGAGTTCAACGCAAGACAAGTTGAGCCTGAGCTTTCCACAATTTACTCAGTATACGGCAATGCGATCCATATCGGCTCTTCTGTTGTGTCTCGCTACATTACTTCCTCCTCAGGCCCTCGCTGAGTCGGGTGCACCAATAGCTATCCGGAAGGTTGCCCCTGGTTCGCACGACAAGCTCCTTAGAGAGCATCTCGCTTTCGCACCACTACACGGTCTTACTCCGCGCGAAGCTGCCGCTGCTGCCATATCATTTCTTGACGAGCAAGATGACAAACTTCTGAGCCTCAATGGCACACAGCGCTTCTACCGTCCAGCGTTTGCTCCTCACAGTGAAGAGTCCCACGAGAGCCTGCTGCGCCGAGCCGCAGAGGCACTGGCGTTGCTACAGAGGAGGTCGTCTTGTCCTAAGGGGATGAACAGCTGCTCTGACATTGATTCCGAAGTCAAATGCTGCCAGGAGGGAACCTATTGTGTGAATGTTGGTGATACTGTGGCGGGAGGCATCGCCTGCTGCCCTGACGGTGCGTCTTGTGGTGGAGGTGTTGGAGCGTGCCCTGATGGAGCTACGAGTTGCTCTGCAGAACTTGGCGGAGGATGCTGCATTCCAGGATATGTTTGCCAAGGATTGGGCTGTGAGTGAATACACGCAATGCTTCGCAGACCAATGTTGACTTTAATCAGGCGTCCCAAGTGCTGTTGCTACACAGACGAGAACCGCAACTCAAGATCAAACGACAGTCCTCACAACTTCCCAAGAAACAACTTCAGAGGGCTCCACAGTCGAACCTACTACCAAGACGGAAACAGAGGTTGAGACCACGGGAGAACCTACGACGACTTCCGAAGCTGGAACCACAACCGAGTCCGAAACTGAAATTGAGTCTGGGACAGAAGATAGCTCTGTGACAGCGACTCCTACAGCTACAGGCTCGGCCACTGGAATCGCTCCATATCGCCCAACTGGCACCTCGGTAACATCAAGCGACGATGGAGAGACCCAAACAGGCTGTCCCACGGGCTTCTACGGCTGTCTTGCCACTCATGGCGGCGGGTGTTGTCGAACAGGCCGAAACTGTGATGTTCATGATTGCCCTGCTCCTTCGACAACCATCGTCTCAAACGGCGCGACTGTGGTCGTCCTTGCAACCGATGCTCCACCTGCCCCAGGACCCTCATCAACTTGCGCAGATGGCTGGTTCCTTTGTGGTCGAGATGCTGGCCCAGTAGCTGGATGCTGTCCAGACGGATATGATTGCGGCACAGCGAGTTGCTTCACAGCACAGGCCAGTGAAACCGGCCGTGTACAGAAGGAATTTCCCAAGGCCGATTCAGCTGCCTACGAGAAGCCCGTTATCACAGTGGTGATGATGGTGGTGCTGTGTGTTGCGCTTGTATGAGGGTGTAGACTTACTATCATGATTTAATGTCGGATGACTTCTGGGTTTAACGAAAAAGAATTTGCTCAATTCGATCGCACATAGACTATCTAGAGAATGAAATATTAGATAAACTTGCTAAAATCACATCAATCCTTATTTTACAGCTTGTGAAGATGCTCGGATTTTTGGTATTTTTGTGAACTATTTTAAGGCACGTAGCCTTTCTTTACAACTCGCTAACTCTTCCTTGTCATATCTATCCAGTGTCATGCGTTTACTCGGGCATGTGGGAAAAGGGTTTAGCAAGGTGCTCCTGGCAGAAGGGCAGCTTGCTGACGGTCCAGATCTCGGTGTCCTGCGGTCAATGTTAGCTACCAGTAGCATCGTCATGGACGATTTATACTCACAGGCTTCAGGTTCTTCTTGATCTCAGTGTCGAGAGTACCGGCCTTGAGCGCAATGATCTCAGGAGCAGCGTCCGGGTCGTGGGCGATGGGAGAGCCGCACTCTGGGCAGAAGAGACGGTGGACAATGTTGCCTGAAGAGCCCTTACTGCCAGAGTAGGTCTTGACGGGGCCGCTGATTGTGAGCTTGTCCTTCTTGACGACAGCCACGAGAGCTAAAGTAACAGATGTCAGCCTGACCTATTCAAGCATCGTTGGCTCGTGGAGCTGGAACGTACAGTAAGTAGAACCACTCTGGCGCTGGCAATCGTCACAGTGATCGTAGCCGACCAGAAGAGGCTCGTCGTCGACCTTGTAGGTGACGGCTTTGCAAAGGCAGTGTCCAGAGAGAGGCATTGTGATTGTTCAAGAATGAGTTGATAAGATGTTATACGAAGTCGAGGATTGATGTCTGAACTAAAATCTACCCTTTAGAACGGGGAACAGAGAGCTTTTAAAATCTCTAGAGAAGCTCTCGAAAGCTCCATGGGGGGCCATAGCGGGGTAAAGGGAAATCCCGAGCTCTTGTCAGTGATGGGGAGTGTTGGGAGTAACAGTACAGTATGATGAACGAGGACCAGGAATTTGGCGGTGGGGCGGTGATTGGATGACGTTGAGAATGATCTTCAGGTTAACGAAGGATGTGTTGTCGAACTAGGAACGACGGGCGTAGACTGGAGCTGCATGCTTCGATTATTTGTGTACAGCTTCGTGTTGGTAACAAGGCTTGACATGAGCGCTAGCCTATTAAGAGGTGTTGCATCCTTCGTCTGACACTCCCAAATACTCGAATTCTGTCCAAACCATCGTTCAATTCCAGATCCTTAGGTCGTTAGTATACCGTTACCGTTGCGCAGCCATATCCCATTGGCGTGTCCCATCGTCAGCCTTAGTTCATCGGGCCCCCTGGCACTCTTACCAAGTGCTGTGTGACGTTGACAGAGATATTTGTCATTCTTCAGGGAGTAGCCTCAATGGAGACGAAGCATGAAGCGGGGCTTCATGCGTGTAGTATTTGGAATTGAGACAATTTGAAATACCCATACCCAACAGATGCAGGGGTAAGCTATGGTCATTGTATAGTCGGTGTTGCAATGACATTCTGGCAGTAGACCACTGTCGCTCAAGCAAGTCCTAGAGCTTTGAGAAGCTCTTGATTTCAAATTCGAGACAGCAAGCTCACATCAGTGAGAGCTTGATCGGAACGATGATAAGATCCGCGGGGCAGGTGGAGACCCTAACGCCTGGGCAGCTTTATGGTTCGTGGTGCTGGTTGGTCAGCGAATGGTCTTAACTCGTCATTGGTTTAGAGCCTGTTCTGAAATCGTCTCTCAACCGTATCAATATTGGTTGACCCGGACGTATGGTGTAAGCAGGATGTTGACCCGTGAATAATCGATGACTTTTTGACCCGAATTTCCTGTTCTTCGACTCATCAATAAGGGATGGGCGCTTCCCGTACTTTTGTCCATGAAATTATGAGGATCATGAGAAGCTCATGATGGTCTGCGTAATGAGCAATGTCAGCACCCATGAGACACCCACTCTTCCTATGAGCTCCATCATGCCAAGTAGGCTGACACTACTCATAGCAATGCGATCAGCCACAAAGAGGCCGACCACAGACCTCAAATACGCGTTTTTGAGTTCTGTATCTCCTTGTTCAAGAACAAAGGCGTCCATTGATGAAATTCGAAACTCCCGAATATCGACGCCCTTCACTGAGGACGAATGTCCATTTGTAGACGTCAATGGTCTCTCAATCTTATCCGGCCGGCCTCTGAGATTTTTGATGAGCTGAAAGTGCATATAATCAAGCAAATTGGAAGCATGAATAGGTGGAGAACCCTTCTTCAAAAAAACCGTTGTCAGCTGTTCCGGCTTGTCAGTCCAAAGGGTACAGCTTTCAGCCACCTCGCAGAAGATGGCCTCAGAATCATGCGCATAGTAAACGAAGCGTGAATAGAAAATCGGCGTCAACACTTTGATCTTGATCTCGCAAATAGATTCTACAGGGCCGCACGTGGAGGGTGAGATGAATGTCTGCTCAGACGCTTCAGCAACTCCCCCTGGCGTATATAGAATAGTGGCAGGGGTGGTCGATCGTTGGACAAGATGCTTCAAGTATTCACGAAATACTTGTTCGAGAATTTTCTCAATCCAATTAGCTGAACGTTCTATAATTTCCTTGTAAGGTTCAGGCCGATACCAGAAATGAAGACTAGGTTTGAAGAAGAGAATGGTTGATTCCATCATGAATCGGGGGAAAATGGCTAGAACCGAACCGAACCACTTGAGACGAACCGAACCCTCCCTAAAATGCTTACTTTATAGGGGTCAATAGCCTCGTCTTCGGATAACAAGTTTGCAAAAAGCTTCGGCTGGTCTTTTGACGACGAGAGGGTGATAGAGATATCGAGGCCTCGAAATCCTCGCATTCCAGGCCCAAGGGGATCCTTGGCAAGCATAGAGTACGATCCCGTTCGTGAGTTGAAAGGCGATATATGAGATCTCTTTCGCCATGTCGTTCTTATTTGAGCGCACAGAAGTCCTTGGTCGTTCTGGGTCATGTTATGAACATGCTCATCTTCTGTCTGTACTTCTCTCGTGACAAGATAGGGATGCCTTTCCCCGAAGACATTGTTCATCTCCAGGATGATTGCCTGAAAGACCTTGTCTGGTGAGTAAAGGAACCAGAAGGTTGTCGGATTAAAGCGAAGGCCTGGGAACTGTGCGGCAGTCACAAGATAGGCATACGGATACCACGAGGCATCAATACCCTACGCCTGTCAGTTTGAGTTCGACTGTGAGATGGCAAAACAAACCTCAGACCCCAGGTATGCATCCAATTTTCCACGCAAGCCATTGTCGGAGCGTATGCGTTGCAGGTGGTCAGCCGGGCAAACCCCAAGCAAGGCTGTCAATCCGGACAATTGTGTGGACCAAGACCATGGACTGTGAACATTTGCAAGCATAATGTCATTGGCGTTGTCCGAGGCCTCTATCGGGATGCCAAGCAGGAGGTATGGATAAGAAAAAGAATGTTTCCGGGGGTACAACCTATGGTGAGTTATTCGACCAGGAGTCAACAGTCGATGAGCAGTACTAGCGGTGGAGTTGGCCCTGCTATTGACAATCCACCTTGAGGTATGGTAACCAACTAGAAATATTCCGCATATTCCAAGGGCGGCATCCGTGATATACCGGGATTTGAGGAGGCTTACAAGCGAGGTCATTACAGAAGCGTGCTTCCAAGCGACAAAGCCTAGGGTAAACAGAATATCGAGTCTGCTTGCAAGTACAAGACATACCCAAGCTGTAGCCAAGATGGTAAAATGATCCCACCATCTTTTCAAGAGTATATCAATGAAGTCTGCAGCGAGGACGGTCGATAGAAGCGGCGAGCCATCGAACAAGCCGTCCATAGGCAAGTCAGGGGTCGATGATGCATCTCTGTTTGAACCGCCGCGAAGATGAAAATCCCTCAGCTTCGCGGGTGAGTGATACAAGAGAAAAAGCAAATGAGGACCGAAGCGCCAGAGCTTGAAGGTCTCTTGTTCAAATATCTACGAAGGAAGTCCGAGGTTAAAACCTGTCCATCAAGGTGCTGTGGTTAGCATTACGGGATGGACATTTTGTCAACACATGAGCCAGTAAGCAGCTGAGCTACAAGACTGTCTGTCATTAGTCATCATATCAAGAACGATAGAATATACGAGTTGTCCATAAGGTAGTTTAGTGTGAGATGAATGAGCACGAGAGCACGAGAGTACGTCAGTTTGTCAGGCACGTCAGGGTCCCGCTTCATCGTCATTGAGTCTTTTCGCTCAGTCAGACCGGACCCGGACCCGGACCCATCTTGCATCGTCTTCGTGCCCCGGTCCCTGGCCTGTCTCAAAAAAGGGTTCCCGTCCAGAAAGTCTAGCACCTTCTATGGGCTGAGAAGAGGCGACACATGGGCCACCAGTGGCGGTGCGAATGAAAATTAGCACACAGACGTCTGGCCGCACTGTTATCTCCAGGGCTTGGTAACCAAAACCGAGGCAGCCTTACCACAGGAGTAACAAGGCGCATGCAAGAGAGGCCACCGATGCACGGTGCCAATTATAGTCCCCCGCCGATTGACTCAGTGACCCAAGGCCAGGCCTAAACCCCTCCGCCCATTCCATCACCATCCCCATAAATTCTTTGTCGCCCAGAACTTCAGCTTGATCTATATTCCATTCTTACATACCCAACAAACACATCTTCCACATCGTCACGCCGAGTCAACCCTCGCTCTAAAACACACATCTTCTTCTGACAAAATTTCATATCTTCAAAATGGATGACTGGGATACCACCACCAAGATTGGTAGCCGCACCCGTGGCTCTGGCGCCGCCCAGCGAGAGACTGTTGTTCGAGGAAAGGCTGCTCTGAACGCTGCCCAACGAGCTGGCGGCCTCACTACCGAGAAGAAGTACTCTTCTGCCAATGCCGTAAGTACAGCCATCGTCTCTCCGTAGCACACACTAACCATTTTTCAGGGCTCCGCACCAGAGGGTCAGCGTATGACAAAGGTCGATCGATCCGACGACATCATCAAGCCCAACACCATCGGCAAGACTGTTGGCGATGTTATCTCCAAGGCTCGTCAGCAAGTTGAACCCAAGATGACACAGAAGGATCTTGCTACCCGATGCAACACCACCCAGGCTATCGTCGCCGACTTCGAGCGAGGCACTGCCGCCCCCGATCAGAAGGTGCTTGGCGCCATGGAGCGAGTTCTCAATGTCAAGCTGCGAGGCAGCGACATTGGCGCTCCCAAGTTCCCCAACAAGAAGAAATGAGCAATTACGTCCAATGCTTAGACAAAAGATTTTGTAAGAGGGCTTCAGTGCCGAGTCGAGCGTTAGCGAATGATGATGATATCTTGGTTGGGAAATTCGGGAGTTTCGTGTGGGCCGTCATGATGCTCTATGACATGGGTACATGAGACTTGTTCTCTTTTCATCGCGGGGTTTAGGATTGATGGCATAGAAACAATGGACGGGCCCTTTTATGATATGGATGCTCTAGTCTCTGAACTTTTGAGCGAGGTAACTCGCCTGCTCATCCGAATAAATTATCCCGTTGTGCATTATGAGCCTGTTTTAACAATACATCCTGTCACTGGGCACGATCAACAAAGCAGGATCTAGCAATGCGGACTCGTAACAAGTAGTCATCCCTACTTGTATCTCGTGACGACATTACAGATAATATAGGTTTTCGAGATTCAATAGCTAGAGAACACTAGATGTTCATTCGCCTCATGGCTCCGTCCTTTAGTCAAGGGACCAAAGGAAGGTCTTGGCAAAAGTGGACTTCAGAATCAAGCCAATCTTGCAATAATAGCTTATCCCATATTCAAAGGAACACCCCTCATTCTGAAGGTTAAGAACTACAAGTCCAAACAAGTGGCTGTATATACCCTTGCCAGTGTCAAATATGATTCTTTGCAGTTAAATGCCCTGATGTATTTTGATAGTCCTAGCTTTCCCTTTGTTGCTTCTCTGTGACTAGAACGTGCTGTCGGTTAACATTGGTAAAATACGTTCAAGGTCTCAATAATCATTGCCAAGGGGGTCCAATCCTCCATGAATAATGCGCCGGCCATTAATTTTAGCAATCGATACGCCTAGTCTAAATCATGCCGACACCTTGGGGCTATACTTCGTGGCAGCCTTGTCAAAAAGTGCGCTCTTCTCCTCCAAGTCGGCCAAGAATTGATGGTTAGGCTTGATGCCCCTCAATTTCCTAGCAGTACATGTCAGTATAAGTCTTGTTTCAAGATTGGAATCAGACAACGGGACTGACTGTGCGAATTCATCGGACTGGTTGCCGGAAATAACATTGAGAACCAGCAGGTTGGCAATCGCGTCGGCGTTATTAGCGTCCTTCTCCAGGGCCTGTTCGAGAGCAGCTTGGGCTTCCTCTGTTCGGCCGAGGTGCAGTTCGCAAACAGCTTGCGAGACAAGACTTCGAACTGATGAGGTCGAGGGAGCTTGGGCGAGCTCCTCAAAGACGTAGAACGCCTGCTGATACTTCTCACCACCCTGCATCTTCTCAGTGAATGTACTTCCCGAACATGTAGAACACTTACGACTCTTAATCCAACCCAAGACTCGGCCAAGTTGACCAAGAGACTATCTTGCGCCCATCGCCTCGCGGCGGATACTTCCTTGAGAGCGAGGTCGGTTCGGTTTTGTTGCAGATGGATCTGGACGATAAGAGAGACAGCGTCGACTGAACAATAGCGGTCAGCGGCATTCTAAGCATCCTCCAGCTTCTGGGCGATCTTACGGCTTCCTTGGTGTTGAGTGAGAAGAGCAAGAGCCTCTTCAGATTTTCCAGCAGCTTGGAGAACCGTTCCTCCGATAACCTGGACCGTTGTGTTGTCGGCAGCTGAAGAGGCCAGCTTCTCGATCGTCTCCACCGCAGAATCGGCCTTGCCCAAATTGAACTCAGCAAGAGCACCCAGAGCCTGGAGCTCAGGCTGAGAATCGCCCTTCACATCATCGAGAACATCTTCTGCCTGTCCAAGAGCCAATCGAGCTCGGAGGACAAGAATGCGCGCGGGCAGAGCGTTATCAGGGGAGAAGGAAGAGGTATCAAAGTCAATGACCTCCTGATACTGGCCCTGGTGGAAGTGGTTGTGAATGTTGATTAATTCGCCTTCGGTCGAGTAGGGATCCATTGTGGTTAACGCTTTGGAAACGTCTTTTGTATGCGGATAACTGTTGTCCCTGAAAACGTCCCTTGAGAACACCTTGGATGCGCTCAAGATCCCGATGGAATGGTGGGGCCGGTCGTAGTCTGTCCTTTCCAGCGTCCACGGTGGGGTGAGATCCACGGTACGTATCTTTATCGTCGCCTCACCGAGATGAGGCGCCATTCATGGTTGCCCTAGATCTCAGGCGCCTGAGTGTGGCTGATGCAAGCGAGTGCCACACCGCCCGATGGGGCTAGGTAGGGTCGGCTGCCCACAAAGTGAGAAATCACACCAAAACCTCAATTTAGCCAGTCTTTGGAACTTGCATCACCAAACACACCCAAAGAACGGCACCGTACATCGTCGTCAAAATGGTACGTCGCTACAGCCCAAGACCTTACTATCAGCATCAACAATAGTACCATCGTATTGTTGAGATTGGAGTGCCGTTATCTCAAGCTATTCGAATATGCGCGCACCATGACAGTTATTTGGAGAAAGTGGGATGAATTTTCGGAGCAACATGAAGGGACACGAACTCGAATCGACGACGTCCAACCTCGAACCGACGATACTTCTTGAAGGTGTCACTTTTTCCGCCCTTCAAGCCCTTTCCGACGATTCAATCTTTTCTCTCAAACTGTCTTGGGGGCGTGCGACTCGATATGCTGAGATCTGGACAGAGGTCTTGATCCTCGAACAATCACCAGATGGCTAACATTCTGGATCCTACAGGTCAACATTCCCAAGACCCGCAACACCTACTGCAAGGGCAAGGAGTGCCGCAAGCACACCCAGCACAAGGTCACCCAGTACAAGGCTGGCAAGGCCTCCCTATTCGCCCAGGGTAAGCGCCGATACGACCGCAAGCAGTCCGGTTATGGTGGTCAGACCAAGCCTGTCTTCCACAAGAAGGCTAAGACTACCAAGAAGGTTGTTCTGCGATTGGAGTGTGTCAAGTGCAAGACCAAGCTCCAGCTGGCGCTGAAGCGATGCAAGCACTTCGAGCTTGGGTACGTGACCTCTTGGCTCCATGGACTCTGCAATATACTGACATTGAAAACAGTGGTGACAAGAAGACGAAGGGTGCTGCTCTGGTTTTCTAAGTGCTTTGTGTTTGGGGTCTCAGGGTCACCATTTCTATGCTTACCTCGGCGGCATTTGGGCATCATGGATGGACACAGGCGAAAGGAGGTACACGCTCTCGATTTGAGGCATGTTTCATAGGGAACGAATGAAAAAAAAACTCTCTGTGTTGCACCAACACGAATTTTCTGAAGCAGAGCACAATACAGTGCATTCATGGTGATGAACCATTTTCAACAGTTGAGCCATTGCCCCTCAACGTCAAGTGGGATAGGGCCCATGAGTCTTGGTCATGGCTGAGAAAGCTTCAAAAAAGCAACGATGTATCGGTCTATAGGTATAAAGCTCTGATAATATTCTAAAATCCTTCTCCCAGCATTATAGTCTTGCCGCCTCCATACCAGAGTGTGCCATTTCGTGCATCCAGCCCTCTCTCGTGGCCGACTAGCCACTCGCCAGCATTATACTCGGAGTCAGGGTTGTCCCAGACCTCCTTCTCTAGCCATGCATTGACCTCATCAATGGCCTTAACCCAGGCTGCCCTCTTCTCTGGCGTGTCATGGTCATCGTGATTCAGATAGCGTCCAAGCGTGATGTGCGCACTGGGAACTTGATATCTTGACCCAACAACGACGCCGCTTTCCTGCACCTTGTCGTACACGTCGCGACGCAGATGGTGATATGTGTAATCGTCTCCCTGCGTGATCCCCTTTGTAATAACAGGCTCGGTGAGAGGAGGGGATAGTGCTGCTTCGCCTGACGCGGGAAGAAACGACAGGGCAAAAGCAGACAAATCATAAGAAACCATAGGCTTGACAAGGCGAGACCTGTGACGATATGGGTAGTTTACAATATCAGGGATAGCTGGTCTCAGAGTTGTTACAAAGGCAGCAATCTCTTGGGGTGTTTTGGAGAAGGCAACCTCGAGGGTTGTTAAATGCATCCTATGTGAAGGCATAAGCCAGACACCTTTTCAATGGTCAGTATATGTCAGTTCACTATGGAACAAAATCTCCTCACTAGGTGCGGCCTTCTTGAGCAACTCATTGACCTTAGAGGCTAAGCGGATAACGTGGTCTGGGGGTCTAGCCCAGATGACCAAGCAGTTCCTATTGTCGCGAAATCCCGGCTCTACGGTCGGGTCTTCAAGCCGTAGGAGTGTCTGGTCAATAACCAACTCCTTGAAGTCAGAGGACAAAAACTTCTCCGCTTGTTGGCCGTTCCTCTTTGTTCGGTGGACAGAGTACAGAGTTTGGACCTCGGCCTGACATTGTAAGTTTGGGAACAACAAGTCTGAATGACAGTCACTTACCGGATCATCATTGCAGGCTTTGATGAGAGCGTTGTATGGGTTCTCGCCTGGCTCCAGCTGAATTCCGGAGAGATCCTCCAACTTGTTGCGAGCCTCTGCAGCTTCAAATTGGGCTGCCATTTTGGCTCAGGATACAACGCAGCTTATAACTGTCGACTGATTTGCAGTATCACCCGGTATTCTACAAGAGTGATAGGATTGATAAACGCATGGCCCTAGGTGCCTTTCTCGTCAAGCTACTTATAAGAACAGTTTAAAAGGCATCGTGGGATGATAGGTATGCACGATGACTAAGCTTTTGGCAACGTGGTTGTCTATGGATCTGAGAACTATGACTCCGTGTTACCATATTTATTGCAGTCATTATATTGGCCAACCTGAGCTTGTTCAATTCAAGATTAGCTGAGACGTTAAAGACCAGGGGCTTCGCATCACAATATGTAGTCCTCGGGTAAATAAAGCATACATTGTAAATTGCATGCCCAGCTATCTCTACTCAGCCACTTTCCAGTTACGCATTGTGCTATCCTCAAATATCCCATGTCTTGGTTTAGCTACAGTTTGGCGGTAACGGTTCCGCCTCGCGGAACGCGTACTTTGATGTCAGGTTCTTGAGAGTCATGCCCCTCAAATGTGACGATCTGACAGTCTTGGATGTCAACGCCGGAGGAGAACTGAACAACCAGGAAATCCAACGTTGTCTCCTTCTTACCAAGAGCTACCATTGGAGCGTGCCATGTCCCAGCCGCATAAGTCACAGCCTGGCGGTCTGTTGCAACAAACGCACGCAACCCCTTCAGATTAGGGAGACCTCTACCGGGTAGCCCCTCTCCACTTGGTACAGGTAGACCATCGTCTTGGAGAGATGGGGGCAGAGATGGGGCCACGATGACCAAGTAGCTTGAAGCGGTAGAGGCGAGTGGAGCAAATGTTTGAGAAGTGAATGGGTGCCGTTCAAGAATGTTGACGGCGAAGTCGCTCTGCGAAGCGTCATCGCTTGCAGGTGCCAAAGTTCTTGCTTCGCAGACGAATTGGCTCATGATCAGCCGGCCATTGCTGCTGGGAGCCTGTGAGAGGAGGTCCTGAGGCCTGCTGACATCGGCATAGCGAATTGCTGTCCCTTGATTGGCAGTAGTGCCGTTGTATGGGAGAGAAACACCTTCAGATGCGTGTTTTGATGGAAGAAGACTTGGTCGTGGGTTGGAGACAACGTCTCCAAATGGCGCGAACTCCTCTTGTGTCAGGGGAACGGCCCCGATACGGAGGCTTAGGTTTCCGACGTTAACTTTAACTGACATGGCTGGCGCTTGAGAGTTGTTATGGTGACTCGATGTTGAGGTGGGAAACGGCTTGCCGTAGTTGAGTTAATTTTCCGATGACGATAAGTTGGTAGTAGAGCATTGTGATCCGAGGTCGGCGATACATCACTCCAACTACAACACAACGTAAAGCACCCACTCCAAGTGTGACCAAAGACACCATTCCTCTGAAAAGTTAGCTACTGAGTTTCCATCAGGTCAAAAGAGAAAAGAGAAAAAAAGGAGAAGAAGAAACCTGATGCAGTATTACTAGATGCTGTGAATGACCTTCTAGCTACCCTAAACCTCAAAGTATCATGATTTGTCGTGCAAGACTTATATATATCGAGGCTCCATTTGACAACGTTCAATGTAAGCTTGAGCCACTAATTTACATCGATTATGTTCTTAGGCGAATACTTCGTATTCGACTAGGTTGTTAAGTCTGTTGCTATTCAATTCCACCTGGTCTTGCAGCCAACAGTGTGTTATTTCCCAATTTCAGGCCAAGCTGACATACATACGTAGACAACTAGTCACACCTCACTCTTCATCACCAATGTCGATCACCAATGTTTCGATCACTTGTGGAATTCGTTTTATTGCATGAAAGCTAACATAAACGCCAACTCCAGTATCCAAACTCAAAGTATTGATTAGAACTCCCTCGGTCGCTGCTCACGTCCCAGGTTCAACTCTGCCTCGTCATCTTTGTCATTTGATTGCCACGGGGATGGTGATCGCAATGCAGGTGACATCTGGCCAAGTCCGGCCTGGTTCGATGGCGGTTGGTATCCTGGCGGAGGATCGGATGGGTAACCCATGTGTTGCGGAGGAGGTTCCCGCCATGGCGGTGCACTGTATTGCTGAGGGCCTGCCAGACCAGGGCCACGAGGTCCAAGACGACGCTTGTCCATGTATCGACGACCATAGATCAAGATAAGGCTGCTTATGCATATGAAAATGATGAGAAGAGCGAGGAGCATGCCGAATTTTCTGTTCAAAGCAAAAGTGAAGCCGCTGATGATGGTTAGTGATGAGCAACCGATGTGTGCATGTGATAACTTACAGGAAGGCGTTCAAAGTGCCTAAGAATAGAATGATGCGGCCAACCCAAAGATGAAACTTGCCGTACTTAGTCGGAGCCTGAGTTCTCCTGTACTGAGTATGGTGCATTACTCCTAATCCAAACTGTCCGAGCAATAAGCCAGTGACGACGAATCCAATAATTTGGTGAGGGTCGTCAAAACTTCGAGACTATGACATTTTTCAGTGACAGGCCCCAGAATAGCCGGGATGGACTTACTCTTTGGTAATAGAAACTGTTCGCGACACCAATACCGAAACCTGCAAAGACACCTAGAGTCGCAATGGACTGGTTCAAAGCATGCCACTTGACCCAGCCTCCAGACCTCAGCAGAACAACGCCAATTGGCATGAGGAATATGATTGACAAGACCATAAAGACTCCATGAAGCGGTGATGCCCAGTTTGGCTTGGCCTTCGTCGCGTAGATAAGCTCGGATCCAACATCTTTTGTTGAATCGCTAAGAGATGGCAGCTCGGAATCCCCGTGTGTTCGTTTGATGTCGAGTGAGAAACTGCCATATCCTGCATGATATTTCAAAGGTGCGTCCGTATCGTCACTGTAGTAGTCCTCCTTTGGCCCAAAAGCGAATACGGCCTTGCTATTGTGATCGTAAACATCGAGGTATCCCTTCTGTCCGCCATGCGATGGCCAACTGCGACACCCACTCTTGCAGCGAATTGTGGCCACCATGTGATCGTCGATAATTCCTGTAGTATTAAGAACTTCGTAATCCATCTCATCCCAATAATAAGGCTCGTAATGGCCATAGGCGAGTCGCGGGGAGAATGTAACATTGTTAGTGGTCCGGCTCTTGTATACCATGAGGAATAGAGCTCCGGGCATATCCTCGCTTCCAAGACCAACAGCGCCCCAGGATCGATTCTTCTTAACGCGGAGACTGAAGTAGACTTCGGTGTTGGTGTTCTCGCCAATGTCAATCGCAAATGCTACGTCTCCGTCTGGGGAAACGAAGGTGGATTGACCACCTTCATCTTTTTCTTTGGCAAAAGCGACTGGAAAAAGGGCTGCCGAAGAATGCTTGTCAGCAGCAGTAAGAAAAAGATGAAAGATTTCGTCTTCAAGAAGAAAGGGCAAACTTACCTGCTGTCGCAGCCAGGGCATGCCCAAGCTTGCGAAGCAACATTGTATGGGTCTGGGTGTGGGGAGATATAAGATGATGGAAAGAGAAAACAAAAGAAGGCGAAGAGGGAGGAAGAAAGAAAAAAAGAGAGAAAAAGAAAGCCAGAGATGCCAGAGGAAATCACAATTTGGATGCTTAATTGAACATTTGCTAAGGCTGGTAGGAAGATCAGGGAGACAAAGCTGGAAAAGGAGGCGCGCCACTAAGATGAGGTGTAGGTAGATTTGTAGAGGGGACGGCAAATGATGGAAGTGTGATGTTTACGTCCGCTGGGCTGCCAATAGATAGATGAAGAGTGGATGTGAAATTGCAGGCTCAATCAGGAAAGTTAAGATTCCATTTTGTCTACTTAGGCTGTACAGTAGTCGACATAGGTCTGGCCAAGATATTTACTCAACTACGTGCGTCACAAGCAAAAGCCCAAGTGATTCAGATTCGGCATTCTGTCTATGAAAAGGGGCTCTTTGAGACTTTGACGAGGGCTCTGGCATGTCTTGTCTTGGTTCTGTGCAATGCATTATCACGAATTGCGTAGCCTTTCCTCAGATCATGCCCGTTTTGGCACGTAGGCAAGTGAAGAACCTCCCAAACTCGTATTCTGGGGTATCCATTACATTTTTCTTTGTTTTTGCGGGCCAAGTAAACAAAATGAGGCATCTGGCCGTTGGGGTTTAGGGGAGGAAAGAAATGCTAGGACTTTGACCCCAAGCGATAAAACTTCTTAGGTAAATCTAGCCTAATCTTAGGGGACTCTTTGCCAAGTTTATTTTTGACACCCTCTAACAAAGTCTGGTGTTTTTTTGCTCCCTAAGGGGGGTCCAATGGATGTAATAGAGTTTGCTTAGGGGGTGACTGCGCTAGCCAGGAACATAATCCCTGGATCTTCCCGCCAGCAGCCAAGGTACTTTTAAGCTACCAATCAACAGCTAGTCTTTACATACCGTTCTGCAGTCTTCATTAACAACATAACAACATCATGTCGAAACAACCACGGTATGATGACCTCAGCCAAACGGAATCATCCCAAGGTACATATGCTAAAAATTACTGCACTTTCCGGGGTTAGACATCTTTGGGGATTTGAAGGAACTCCTGACATTACAGGAACAGGCAGATGGGGGTTCTCAGTACTGAAGGACGGTACTGCTGGAATGGCATCCGGTACCACGAAGCGAATCACACTGATAGTCGAGTAGCCCTTCCGACTGTGACTGTTGGATCGCAGTGCGTGAATATAAGTCATATTGATCTGTAGATAGTTCGGGGGATTTACTGGAAGATGTCTGTGTACATGACTCTTAGTACGGCCTTCGTTTGCGGGAATTCAACTGTGCGATCCTCGTGAACCATTCAGAGATATCTGGGCGTCCATTGCCTCTCCAACGTTAACCCAGTCCAACTGTGCCATTCAATTAGATACATCCTTTTAAGATATATTCACCACTTACAAGAACGACATTCGGTCGCCTGCCCCAGCTGCTCTCGCAAAGGTCTACCTGTTTTTGGATAGAATACTCTGAATCCGTCTTCTCTGCATCGGCCTGATTTGGGACGACGACACCCATGATGTCGTAGTTCAACATATGGTTCATAATCCCCATGAGTACGGTTGGATCCCCTTTCTCCGGGCGGTCAACCTTGCAGGTTGGAAACGAGGAGTCGGTTTCACCGAATGGAGTCTCCCAGAAATAGTCGAACTCATCAAGTATGTAGTCAACTTTTCTCACATTCATGTTGAAATCTATAATAGTCAGTAAGCTCAAGAAACGAATCAACAGAACAAGGCATACCCATGAATACAGTAAGCCGAGTTCCACCATCAAGTAACTCTTGCAGAGTTGGCCACTCGTCTCGAGAAAGCCTCTTCTTGGGACGAAATACAAGGCCTTTTAACCCTGCACTACTGAAAGCTTCGTCGAAATTTTCAATCGGTAGGGCATCGACGTTCGTCAGTAGTATCGTCACAACCTCATCTGGATTCTTTCCGACCCATTCTGATATTTCTTCTAGATACTTAGTTATGCAGTGGTCCAGCGTCCAGTTGCCAGCAGTAAGTGTGGCACATCTGTATATTGCCATCCTTGTCTTGTGTCTGAGCCTGCAAGAACCGTACGCCTAAATTGAGTTGTTCTGAGACTGAGATGTATTGGTTGTTAATTGGAAGCTCTCCAACAAAAGCGCTGTTATGCGTCCCAATGAAAGTGATGTCTGAATATTTTCGCCCGCAAAGTTCATCATGGCCATTACATGTTTCTAAAGCTGCCGTAGCAAACGCTAATGTCAATGAAAATCGCATGGCCAAAAAACCAGAAAGACAATGTCTGGGGAGACTGCGAGTGAAAGCAGAGCCCTTGGAGAAAGCTTAAGGCCATGTATATAAAACAATATCCCCACACTCGCACTGACTACCAGCATGTAGCTTCAAGCCTTCGCAGCCACAAATCATAACAGTAATTCTACCACAAGTTGAATAATAAGACCAATCGTTCGACGGTTTTAACGTCTGTTTTCGGCACGTTCTTTATGCATCTACTCGTTGTGAGGGCTGGTAGAATGCAACGATGAGATGGCTGGCTCAGAACCCCGGTCGCATAGCTCTCACTAGGCACACAGCGTTCCTTTGGAGAGCAATGCAAAGAGTAGATGCTCGGGTGGCAATAGCATCTAAGTATATGAATGGTAGGAAGTGATAATTTGATGTTTACTCACGCCTCACGAGAGATGACTTCATTTAGACACCGAAACGGGGATCAACGTCCAAGCCAGACTCTCAATTATTCATAGCGGTTATTGTGTGTAGGTAAGCATATAACAAAGGCATTCAAGATTTATTCTGCTATTCCGTACTAGGTATGTCAGCGAAAGTGCTTGTATGAGTAATTGAAGCTGAAGAGTCGTGGACGCAATGACAAAGAAATGGCTTCGGCTTTTAAGACTCTAGACCCACTCTGACGCACTGGAGCTCGAAACACCAACTAACAATTGCCAGCGCGAGCCTTTGCAAGCTTCCTTACTACGGTACAATCTGGCCACATCAAATAACAACCTACTAATACAGGTATTCTCAACTTGGTTGATGCCAGAAATTTTCTTGCTCTTTAACGCATTCACATATAATTCCGAAACTCACTAAACATCTACCAATGATCCGCTGCCCACCATGTCTGGCTATTTGTCCATGCTAGGCTGGGCCTTTCTCCCAAATGTATGAGATCCTTTCTTGGGGAACTTGCTTGACCTACTAACCGCTTCATAGCTTGCAACAGGATGGCTCCAGTCCATCTATTACGGCTTTACCATTCGCGCCGGCGATCCAAAGCCTGCCCCTGGCTCTCCCCGCTATAATTCGCATCGACGCACCATACATATCCTCGTTGTCGCTGCCTACCTCTGCTACACAATCTTCGAAGCGGACTATGAACAGCGCCGCATATCCTCATACTATGCAGATCTCGGAGTGCCACTCGACGCTGCCGATCGCGAGATCAAGACGCGCTTCCGCCGCTTGGCTGCCATGCACCACCCAGACAAAGCAGGCAAGGGCGCTGGCGATTCTGCAGCCTTTTTCATGCACCTCAAGGTTGCTAGTGATACGCTACAAGATACCGCGAAAAGATTTGCATATGAACGCTTCGGACCTGAGATTGCGCGGTGGCAGAAATGCGTTACTATCAGAGATTATGTTACCCGTGGTGTTGTCTCCGGCATCCTGCCTCACTACGTTGTGGCTGCCGCATCAATTTATATTCTGGGCTTATTTGGCTACATGGAGTTTGGCAAATACTATCGGTGGCTAGTTCTGATCGCCCTTTGCGTATTCGAGCTCCATGCCGTAACACGTCCCGACTTCCCACCTTTTGTCAATGCCATCAACGCCGTCCTCCTCCGATTTACATCTTCGCCACCATATCTACCTTTCCAGATCATCTCTCTCGCCCGGAGACTCACGATCACTTTCTATATTGCTCTCAACCAGATAGGACCTCTCATTGCATTCATGATCACAGGGCCAGAAAAGTCTGAGGAGGACGACGAAAAGGCTCTAAGACAAAGCCTACATCGCCTTGAAATGCTGACAAAGCAACTTGACGGAGATGCTGTAAGACTGTTGGATATGGAAATGGCTCCCTTTAAGGGCGACAATGATGCAACGTCCAATCTACAGGGCAAGATGAGGGAGTGGCTTGTACAGAATACTATTAGAGCTGACCCTATGGTTAGAGATGCCATGGGAACGTCACTGAGGAAGAGGAGAGTTGATGCACCGGCAGGTGCGAAAGGTAACAGATAGACAAGCGTTATCAATATCTATTGTAACTTTGAATAAGCAATAGTGAATGTGTGCTCTATGCAGAGAACTTTATGAATAGCATGAAATACAAAGCACTGCCAAACCCCGTTGTAAATGACATAAGAAATGCAAGTTATACCCAAGACCACTCTTTGACTCCAGGTCGTTAGTATGCGTGTGTTGTAACAAAGGTTGTGCGGTGCCTATTATGCTTGCGGGGCCGCACTTAATTGAAAGTCGAGGACTCAAAGTCGTGAGGCACCTCTTGTCTCGATGGGAATGAGACAAATGGCAATAAAAGCAGACAAAATAAGGACTGCAGACATGATAATAGGTGTAGTAGCACCATCGCCAGGAACGGTAGCGGCAATGATGGGTGCCATGAGGCCAGTAATGCGGTTCAGGAAGCTGGCCACGCCGGTGCCAGCGCCTCGAACAGGAGCAGGGAATATTTCAGGCGTAAAGGCGTACAGAACACCGTACATGATGTTTTGGGCGAAAGCCTCGACACAAGACATTAGTAGTTGGGCAGTTGATGTAGTGCCGTAGAAGACAAAGAGGAAAAGGAACACCGCGGAGAGGAGGGTGGAACTAGCAAGCGTTCCTCGACGGCCGAGGAATGGGGACGGGTGATCAACGAGGTATGCAGCGAGAAGAGAACCAGGGACGCCCATGACAGAGGCGATAGCGTAGTTGCGGTATGTGTCTGATGAGATGGTATCTGTTTCGGACTGCATGTTATCCGATGCTTCGTTGTGTGCACGGGCAAAGTATTGAGGAAGGAAAGCATTGAAAAGAGGATATCCCATGCCGATCGTAGCCCAGCAGAACCAGATCAAAGAAGTTGCCATGCCGAGGGTCTTGTTCTGGAATAGAGGTCGCAAGCGCTCTCCAGAAAATGACTGGAACTTCTCACGGAGGAAACCAATGGTCGATGGAGCAGGAATCTTCTTCTCTGCAACATGAGCTAGATCTTCGCCATCCTCGCAAGCAACCAAGTCGAGAAGCTCTGAAGTAAGCCACGTCTTGGTACCATTACGGTATGCCAGACCATGAATGACAGCCACTGCCTCATGTTGGCGACCCTTGTTCAGAAGGAACTTGGGTGATTCGAAAAGATGAAAGACGAAGAATCGGACAACAAACATGGCGAAAGTAACAATGCCGATGGTGACAATGAAGTATCGCCAACCCTGTTCAACTGGCCAGTTGCCGATAAAGTACCATGCAATCAGAGATGAGACAAGTTGCCCAAAGGGCCACCAGACGGACAGCAGAGTGAGCAAAGCGCTGGAAGCATCAGGGAGGAATTCCAGGAAGAGAGCACCATCAACAGGAAGATTACCACCGACGCCGAAACCAAGGGCACTGAAGAAGAAGCAAACACTGCCCCAGCTTTGGGCATAAGCGGACATGATGCCAAAGACACTGGTAATAAGCAAGGTAGTGTTGAAGGCAATGCGACGACCGAGGAAATCGGACCCAATTCCCCAGAAAAAACTCCCAATCGATAGACCGACGAACAGGGCGCTGGTTGTGTATCGAACCGTCTTTTCATCGACACCGAATTCGCCTGATAGAGATGGCAGACAGAGTGACACTCCCTGCATCCAAAGGTTGTCGGCGAACCATCCACATCCACAGAGAACGAATAACTGCCAGTTATAATTGCCCATACCGATATCTCCAATTGCCTTATTCATGAGCTTTGATTTGACTGAAACCTCGTTAGCTCATAATGCAACAGTCTTAAATGTAGCACTCACTCTCATATGTCGTCCATTGACCTCGTCGCCCTTCTCTCATTTCTTTGCGTAGGCCGTCTACCGTATACTCAGCAGCATCACCTCCAAGCATGCCCTCGCGTTCTTCTTTCACCTCCAAATCGTCCATCTCGCCCTCCTCCCGCATTTCCCCATGACCGGCGCCCTTCGCTTTAGCCGCTTGGCTGTAAAGATGAGCTTCCTCTAGTGGCACTAACACGCCGATATAGTCATCCACTGACTCGACGTATCCAGAGCCGAGACGCCATGAAATGCGCATTTCAGAAGCCGGTGCTTGAAATAACAAGATGATTATAACTTGAATAGCAGAAACATCAAACAAAAGTTGGATATTTTCAGATATACGTGATGCTGCCGCTCACACACGAGAGACAACTTGGATTTGAAAGATTAGATAAACCTGTGGCTTGATGGTTGATGAAAAGAGCTTGAACGGAAAGGATTATAATGGTTTGTTGTTGGGCTGCGTCACTGAGCGGAAGAGCCGATCGTGAGTTCCGGTAGCTTTGTTAGGAGCAGAAAGCAGTAAAAGAAAAACCTGGGGCAGAACAAATAAAACAAAGAGTGACCAGAGTGATAATAATGTAAAAATCAACAAAGGAAAACGAGGACTTCAATTGTACAGTTGATGAGAGGGTGAAACAAGGCACAGACTTGGAGATGAGAGGACAAGTCAGAAATAGGAGGCCGTAGGTCCGATTTTTGCTGGGTCCAGGGGCTTGGGAGGCGCTAAAGCTGGGCATCCATCAGCATCATCACCCATCCATCTCCCGTTCTATGGGGGGCTTGGCATCAGGACTTGTGTTACCGCCATGATCTTGTATAGCACTCGTAATGTTCCTGATAATAAGGCATTTCTAGAAAACATGGCATTGCGTCTTCCCCCAAGATCACTAATACTGAAGCAGCAACTCAGCAAGTCCCTCTATCTAGGTTCTTTAACTTCTGATAAGGGCTGCAATGCAGGTGAATCCTCAAAGTGACCAGTGTTGAAAGAAAGTCTG